AAGAGCTCCGGATCGCAGGAAGTTTGTTGGCTGATCGGGGAGTCAATGAGCTCTGATAAGAGCTCCGATCGGAGGAAGTTTGTTGGCTGATCGGGGAGTCAATGAGCTCTGATAAGAGCTCCCGATCGGAGGAAGTTGGTTGGCTGATCGGGGAGTCTATTATCTCTGATAAGAGCTCCCGATCGCAGGAAGTTTGTTGGCTGATCGGGGAGTCAGTGAGCTCCTATAACAGCTCCCGATCGCAGGATGTTTGTTGGCTGATCGGGGAGTCAGTGAGCTCCTATAACAGCTCCCGATCGCAGGATGTTTGTTGGCTGATCGGGGAGTCAGTGAGCTCTGATAACAGCTCCCGATCGCAGGAAGTTTGTTAGCAGATCATGGAGTCAATTAGCTCTGATAAGAGCTCCCGATCGAAGGATGTTTGTTGGTTGATCGGGGAGTCAATGACATCTGATAAGAGCTCCCGATCGCAGGAAGTTTGTTGGCTGATCGGGAGTCAATGAGCTCTGAGAAGAGCTCCGGATCGCAGGAAGTTTGTTGGCTGATCGGGGAGTCAATGAGCTCTAATAAGAGCGCCCGATTGCTGGATGTTTGTTGGTCGAACGGGGAGTCAATGAGCTCTGATAAGAGTTCCCGATCGCTGGAAGTTTGTCGGCCGCTCGGGGAATCAATGAGCTCTGATAAGAGCTACCAATCGCAGGAAGTTAGTCGGTCGATCGGGGAGTGAACGAGCTCTGAAAAGAGCTACCGAGGTTTGTTGGCTGATCGGGGAATCAATCAGCTCTGATAAGAGCTCCCGATCGCAGGAAGTTTGTTGGTCGATCGGGGAATCAGTGAGCTCTGATAAGCTCCCGATGGCAAGATGTTCGTTGCTTGAAAAACGAAGGAGGTTTATCTGTCGATCAGAAAGATCATGAGAGCTTACGATCGCAGGATGTTTGTTGGTGGATCGGGGAGTAAAAGAGCTTTTAGGACAGCTCCCGAACGTAGGAAGTTTGTCAGTCGATGGGAAATCAACGAGCTGTGATAAGAGCTCCCGATCGCAAGAAGTTTGTAAGTCGATCGGGGAATCAATTAGCTCTGATAAGAGCTCCCGATCGCAGGAAGTTTGTTGGTCGACCGGGGAGTCAATGAACTCTGATAAAAGCTCCCGATCGGAGTAAGTTTGTTGGCTGATCGGGGAATCACTGAGCTCTGATAACAGGTCCCGATCGCAGGAAGTTTGTTGGCTGATCGGGGAGTCAATGAGCTCCGATAAGAGCTCCCGATTGCTGGATGTTTGTTGGTCGAACAAGGAGTCAAAGAGCTCTGATACGAGCTCCCGATCGCTGGATGTTTTTCGGCCCATCGGGGAGTCAATGAGCTCTGATAAGAGCTCCCGATCGCAGGAAATTTGTTGGCTGATCGGGGAATCAATGAGCTCTGATAAGAGCTCCCGAGCAAAGGAAGTTTGTTGGCTGACAGGGGAGTCAATGAGCCATGATAAGAGCTCCCGCTCAAAGGAAGTTTGTTGGTCCATTGGGGAGTCAATGAGCTCTGATAAGAACTCCTGATTGCAGGAAGCTTGCAAGTCCATCGGGGAATCAATGAGCTATGATAAGAGTTCCGATCGCAGGATGTTTGTTGGTCGATTGGGAGATCAATGAGCTCTAAGAGGAGCTCCCGACCGCAGGAGGTTTGTTGGTAAGTCAGGGTGTCAATGAGCTCTGATAAGAGCTCCCGATTACAGGAAAACTGTCGGTCAGTCGAGGAGTCAATGGGCTCTAATAACAGCTTTCAATCGCAGGAAGTTTGTTGGTTGATCAGGGAATCAATGAGCTCTGATAAGAGCTCCCGATTACAGGAAGTTTGTTGATCGATCGGGAATAAGCTCTGATAAGGTTCCGAAGTGAGGCAAAGGAGATGCTCTGCTACAGCTTGGACAAGAGCTTTGCAAGCTTCTTTCACATTTTTGTCACATGGCTGTTGTATTTTTCAAGGCAACAACCTCTGCAGGTTATTCTTTTTAGTACAAATCAAGGAAATTAGCGACAAAACATCACCAAGTAACCCAAAACGGTAACGATCGTTCTCTTTTATAAAAAATCAAAAAGAAATATTTTGAATTACATTTTGTACTATATTTCACAAAAACCATGTTTATCTTGGTTTTCTAAGCAACCACTGCCATGGCGACGGTTTAACCAACTGCAAATAACCTACATTAAGGAACTGCAAAAGTTACTCCCTTCCCAAATAAAATTTGTAATATTTGGTTGAGCAGTTTTGGAAGATAATGCTAGACACGTTCCTGAACCCACAAATATCACTGCTTCCAAAAAAAAAAAACCCACCTCCCTTAAAAAAAATCAGTGTGTAACAAGTCGCTGATCCCACAATTAGTAATTATGACTGACATATCGATGATCTGTGCACATCAGCCAACCATAATCCAGCGTGAAACCTTTAGGGTAGTGGTAGTGGGGGTGCTATACGTAGTGCCTTTTTATGGCCTCTTTAATTCACAACTTAGCTCAAATAAGCAAACAGGTAATGAAAATACTCAAACTTATCAGGTAGAAGTTGTTACATGTGAACGTTAACTATCAGATCTAGGGAATTAAAGGGTTAACAATGCATAGTATTGGTCCTTTTGATTACTCTTACAAAATTCCCACACTTAACTCACAAATTGTAGAAAAACTTATTTCAGTTTTTGAACTTGTTAAGTTTGAAAAAACATTTTATGAGTAGCAACTGTGCTGCACAGGAGTCAACACAGAGGTCATGGATCCATGAATACCATCACCAATACAGCCAACAAGGTTCTACACTATGCCATATCTTACACAGAGGTCATGGATCCATGAATACCATCACCAATACAGCCAACAAGGTTCTACACTATGCCATATCTTACACAGAGGTCATGGATCCATGAATACCNAGCCAACAAGGTTCTACACTATGCCATATCTTACACAGAGGTCATGGATCCATGAATACCGTCACCAATACAGAACAAGGTTCTACACTATGCCATATCTTACACAGAGGTCATGGATCCATGAATACCGTCACCAATACAGAACAAGGTTCTACACTATGCCATATCTTACACAGAGGTCATGGATCCATGAATACCATCACCAATACAGCCAACAAGGTTCTACACTATGCCATATCTTACACAGAGGTCATGGATCCATGAATACCATCACCAATACAGCCAACAAGGTTCTACACTATGCCATATCTTACACAGAGGTCATGGATCCATGAATACCGTCACCAATACAGAACAAGGTTCTACACTATGCCATATCTTACACTTGCTGATCACCTGACAAATCAATTAAAAAACAAACAGTATCTCCCCTAGCCTGCAAGCAGGCCTTCATTATCAGCACTGCAAGACTCGCATTTTCTGCCCGTGGGAAGATTTAAGAGAACTCATTGAAAATTTTGCTTGGGGTCACATTGCTAAATGTCTCACATACCACAAGTAAAGAAATTTTTGTGCTGAAACACTAATAATGATGGCCTGCTTGCAGGCTTTTTTTCCACAGTCCAGTCTAATTAAAGGAGCTATCACATGACAGAAAAAACTCTTCACTAATACTCAACTGAGATTTAAATAAATAGACAAAAACAAATCTCTTCTTTGCTGTTTCATTAATACTTCATGAAACACTGAAGGTAAAAATTTTCCTTTCAAAAATCATCTGCATCAGCTGAAGAGGTCCCTCAAGTTTCAAAATGTAAGCACTGCTCCCATTTGTTTCCATTTCAAATGGTAAAAGTATATTTTTAAAATAAATAAATCAAACAAACATAGAACATATTTATCCCAACAAAGGAATTTTTTTTGCCACTAATCAAGGAAATCCAATTTAAACCAATCTTTAATTTCAAAATTCTCCAAGGAACCATTCTCCTGCATTTCTCTACATAGAAAATATAGCAGTTCCTCTAACTTGTGATTGAAAACCCTTTTCAGGTTGGTTGTTCAAAAATATTTCCATACACTTCATATTTTAAGGGAAATGCTTTAAAGGATATGGACTGTACCTGTAATGAAGGAACTTTGAAAATATGTGTCTAAGTTTTGCCTGATCCTTCTTCTTCTTCTTGCGTTCAAAGCTAGCATCCTATAAATGCAGTATGTTACATGGTATTGTATGACTGTTTAAGTTAATACAAGTAATTAGTATAATTTCAGAGCTGAGCAAAGAGTTTCCAGCAATATGATTGGTCGAGCAGTTCCTTATATGACACTATATAAAGTGCTCTACGCGGTTTATATATAAAATGTTAAAATAAAATGTTAATAAAAGTTATGATTTTAGAAATTTCTCTGTTGTTCAGCTCTGAAATTATACTAAAACAATTATTCGCCTCAGGTTCGGTGAATATTGTTGAATAATCCCCTCAACTTCATCTAGGGAATTATTCGACGATATTCACCTCGCCTTCAGCGAATAATTGTTACATTGAAATGTTAATTAATTAGATACATATATCAATATCTTATCAATCCAAGAACCTAGTTTTAGGAAACATTCTAAAATTGATAAAAAGTTGATATTACTACCAAATACTCCTATCCTGATTTTATGCAAATGCACACAGACATATTTCCAGGTAAATCAAATTTCTCTCTCTACAAAGATAATCATGCCCTCTGAGTTGACAAATACCAAATAAAAAAACAATTATCTGTAGCTGATGCAATAAAAAAACTACTCTTCATTGCAAAAATTGTCGCAGTAAGAAGGACCTTGAAACTTAGGTGTAACTTGATCAATTGCAAAATTGGAATCTTGGTAACCAAAATCATTTTTAACCATCATAGATTTTACATTCACATTATACTTTATCCTGACATTGTTCTCCCTGAATCCTCTTAAAATATGCCAAATTTACTCTGACAACATACCTTTGGAATTCCAGTTTGTTCACAGTAGAAATCATAAAGCCACCTACGAAAAATAGTGTCACTGTGTCCCTAAAAGAAGAAGTGTCATTGTGTCACATTAATTGATCAATAACTTATCATTTCATACTTAGGTAAACCTGTGTTATTCCCAAGGTGCTGTACTGCTTAAAAAAAATGTTACGCTAATTTATCTCTCATTCCCTTGAACTCTGACTAATGATCACCATGTAACTTCTCCCCATAATATTGATAAATTATCCAGTAAAAAGGTAACAAGAACATTCAAACTTATCAGGCAGAAGTTATGCGTACCTTGATCTAACACCAAATTCTCCTTAAAAAAAGGTTGTGCTTGTGTATCAAAAAAATGAAAATAGCTTCAAAAAAGGTAACTGGGACTTGCCCTTAAAGACCACTCAGTACATGACAAATGAAAATAACTTCAAATAGGAAACTGGGTCTTGCTCTTAACGACCATTTACATAACAAATGAGAATAACTTCAAAAAGGGAACTGGGACTCACCCTTAAAGACCATATACATAGCAGATGGAAATAACTTCAAAAAGAGAACTGGGACTTGCACTAACAGACCATATACATAACAAATGTAGATATAACCTCACCCATCCAATTTGTTAAAAATTTGACCCACCTAGATTAGCTTAGCTACCTGCGGGCATGTTACTGTACTTTTATCCCAAAACACAATAAAATGTATGTATGTATGTATGTATGTATGT